CCCCGCATTGGCTGGACCGTCAACGACCGGCCAGTCACAGGTCTGGGCCAGCTGCGGGCTGGTGGACAGCACGGGACCCTGGGAGGCTGCGGAGGGCCAGCAGGGGGAGCCCACGCTGGCAGGGAGGTAGAGGGTGTCAGTCGGTGCTGTGGGTCCTGGGTCTCCAGACTTGGCCCTGGGCAGGGCGGTTGGGACAAACCCATGTTTGGCCATAGGTGTCTGTCACGCATCAGACCTGGCAAGAAGCCACCTGCAAAAAAGACTCCACCCTGGGGACCTCGGGCCAGGAGTGGGCCTGTGCTGCACCCAAGGCCGCGGTGCCCACTGCGGGCCCTCGGCAAACCCCTTTCCTGAGGGCTCTGGCTCCTACGGGCCCAGGTGATGTTGAGGGGCCTGAAGGCTGCATAGTAGGTGCTCAGTAAATGTCTGCTGAATCTCTGAAATGCAGAAAGTCACTGCAAAATGACATTCCAGGCCCTCCTAAGCCAGGAGACGGCTTTACCCCCCCTCAGACCCTCCCGCTTCCTGGGTGGGAGCTGGGGTGAGTGGTCCAGGCTCTCTAAGCCCAGCTCCTTCTCGTGAAGTGGGGATAGCAGGCGTCCGCGGGCGCCGCGTCCATGCAGAGGCCCACGGGAGCAGGCACCCGGAGACCTGCCCTGACCGCTCACCCAGCTCACAATGTGGACCTGGAAACGAGAAAGGCGGCCCCTCACCCACATCCTCTGAGGCGGCCTGTGCTTCCCCCTCGCCAGGCGCCCCCAGGGAGAAGGGCCCCCGATTTCTGTGTCTTTACTAGGCACCTGCTGGGTGCTCAGGCCGGAGTTCAGGGCACCCTGAGAGGTCTCTTTCTTTGCCACAGAGGGCGTGTCCGAACTGGACGGGGGCAGCACGCTGCAGAGGGTGGCGGTCAGCAGGGAGGACAGCGGGACCTACGTCTGCTGGGCTGAGAACAGAGTGGGCCGCGTGCAGGCCGTCAGCTTCGTCCACGTGAAGGGTGAGGCACGAGCCCTGGGCTTTTCGCTCGAGACCGGCTGGACTCCCTCTGAGACTGGCCTCCTGGCCTCGGAACTAGCAATTCTCCACCCTGGCTGTACATAGCACCCCCTGGGACTTCATAAACTCGGAGGCCCCGGGTCCACCCTAACTCAGTAGCCCCGCCTCCCTGGGGCAGGGCCCAGCAGAGGAATTTTTAATCCCCCAGACAGCCTGGCTGCAGGTGGAATGCAGATCTGACCGGTCAGCCTGCAGGATCCGACTGAGCAGCTAGACGGGGCCTGTGTGGGAGGCAGGCCTGGGGGCCAGGGCACTCTGGCAGGAAAACGCATGTAGCTTGCCAGCCCGCCCGTGACCCCCTGTGCAGCCAGCAGCGGCACCGTAACCGGTGCTGACCATGTGTTAATTTGCTCAACTTCAGGACGGGTAGGGTGGGGCTTGATGGAGGGCAGTGAGCAGCCCCGGCACCAGGACACAGCGGCTGCTGTTGGTAGAGTCACCTCAGGAAACCAGGAAGGGGAGGAACCGGTGCAGCCATTCACGAGTGGTTTAAGGTTGGAGTGAGATGAGGACCAGGGACGTCTTGGTGTTGCTGTGGACAGCAGAGGTGTCCTCGTGACCACGTGGTCCTTGTTTTCCAAAGTCCCCAGCAGGCACCCTGCAGCTGGGGTAATTAGTCCATGAGAGCGGCTGTATGACACTCGTTGCATTGCCTGCCCTCCTGCACCGGCCTCAGACATCACTAATCAATCACCACACTGTTCCCGCTCGGCTTCAGATCTTTCTCAGCAGCGCTCCTGGCAGCCGCTGCCAGTCTGTTCCCCTTGACCCATCACGTGGGAGCTGTTTGCCGTCCCTGATGTGTTGACTGTACTCAGCCCTCCTGGGGTCTGGGGACAGGCCTATGGGAGGCTGAGCCTGAAGGGAACTTCCTCTCTGACCCCTTGTCTAATGTCACATTGTGCAGAGGCTCCTGTCCTACAAGGGGAAGCCTTCTCCTACCTGGTGGAGCCTGTGGGGGGCAGCCTCCGCCTGGACTGTGTGGTCCACGGAGACCCGGCGCCTGACATCCACTGGATCAAAGACGGCCTTCCGCTGCGGGGCGGCCGACTCCGGCACCAGCTGCAGAATGGCTCGCTGACCATCCGCAGGACAGAGGCAAGGAGGGGCCTGGCGCTCTAGGCGGGGACATCTGGGACAGCCCTGGGCCTTTTCTGACTGCTCAGAAGGGTTCTTTAGGTTGGCACCACCCTCTACAGTCTGCAAAGCGCTTTTCTGCCCGTCGCTCAGAGATTCTGCCCCCCCCCTCCCCGCCCCACACTAGGGTGACCTCCAGCCAGCGACTTCACTTCTCTGTGCCTCAATTACCCCACCCGTTTGATGGGGCTAACGATCGCTTCTCCCTCACAGCTTTACAGTCAGAAGTCAGTGCGAGGACCCCTACCAGGCATTTAGGAGTGACTGGCCCCTCGGTGGTGGCAGTAAAGGTTATTAATAACAACAACCCCATGGGGCAGGGTAGACGGGTAAGAGTGCCCCATTTTACAGAGGAAGATACCGAGGCTCAGAGAGGCCCACAACCAGGGAGCCCCCGAGGCAGCAGCATACCCAGCTCTCCTGACTCCTACTTCATGCAGTTTCCAAAGCCCGTGCACTGGGCAGCCCCCACTCCCCTTCCTTCTGTGTCCCAAGCCCCATGGTCATTCGGAAATCCACCATTCACTCCTATCAAGCTCATCTTAGGGGTCCTTGATCTTGCCCCTTTGGGAGTCTGTCCCTAGTTAGTGATAATCATAGGACTGGTACTGAGAGCGCAGTAGCCGTAACCACAGCAGGAATAATGGCTACTATGACCTGAGGCTGTACCACATACGTACCAGGCACCGGATGGCTATGATTTCTTTTGATGCCACAACAATCCTAGCAGTTGTTATCCCCATTTTAGAGATGGGGAAACTGAGGCCCCAGAAACATGGTGATGTCTAGTAGTGGCTTCAGCATGGTTAACAATGGACCCGAGATTTCGTCCCATATGGGTCTGACCCCCAAGCCTACACTTTTAACTGTGTGCAGGCAGGTGTTGCAATAGTGCCCACTTGTGGATATTCTGAGAACAGCACCCTGGTAATGAATTCTAGGAGTCTGAGATCAGCTATGCCTCTCAATCTCTAGAGCCAGACAGTGTCAGACGCTGTTTCTGACTAATTAGATCAGGCAAAGACCCAAAGCATCCAGAGGCCTCTGCCTGCAGACTGAAGTGCTGGATTCAGTCTTGAGTAGCCCTCAGGCAATTGTCCACAGGTGTGGTGAGAGGTTTTCTAACAGGGTGGGGCAATTGCTTCCGCCTGGAGGCTAATGGTTATTCTCAGTCTCTTAATGGCCCTCAGAAACTCCACACAGTGGGGCTAGGTGTGTTTCCAATAGGGTAGGTCCATGGTTGGCAAACTCATTAGTCAACAGAGCCAAATATCAACAGTACAACGATTGAAATTTCTTTTGAGAGCCAAATTTTTTAAACTTAAACTATATAGGTAGGTACATTGTTATTAACTAAATTAGGGTACTCCTAAGGCTTAGGAAGAGCCACACTCAAGGGGCCAAAGAGCCGCATGTGGCTCGCGAGCTGCAGTTTGCCGACCACGGGGGTAGGTCAACTGTCTTCACCCCGGGCAAAAACCTCCTGGGCAGCAATGGTCTGCCTGAGAAAGATACACTCCCCAGCGTGAGGGAATGACTCAGCACAGGAAACGGAGGTGTCTGCCTTCTGATCACTCACTTCAGGGTGATTGCTTTGTAATTTAGTTGAAATTCCAGTTTGGTCCTGGAACCTTGTCTGTGTAGCATCCACTTGCTCTGTGGCACATTAGTATGGGATTAGGCGCAATAGCACCCCCTTTGGACATTCGGAGAACAGCACTCCAGTCAGGGGGTGTTTCAATAGCGCCCTCTTGTGTGTATTCTGGTAACAGCACCTAGTAATGAATTCTGGGCTTCTGAAAAGAAAACCCAGTGGACAGTCCTAGAGGGCTGTCACCCTTGTAGGGTGTGTTGAATGCAGCCCTCTGGTGGACAGTCCCTCGGGAGCGGCTTCTGTGGTGTCATCTCTGGGCATGGACTGTGGCCACAGGCCGCCCTGAGCTCTGTCCTGGGGCAGAGCTTCCACTCAGAAGTGAGCTGTCACCATCCATGGTCGCGGATGCCTGTGAAAACAGCTTCCCTGCCGCTCAGTGGGGAAATGCTGCCACCCGCCTCCTCCCTGGGGAGCTGGCAGTGCAAATGGGTCCGTAAACGCCCTGAGAAGGCCTGCCGCTTGGATGCCTTCTTGCTCATCAGTATTCCCACACTTATCGACCATGGACCTCTTCTTTCTAAAGGAATCCCTCAGCGTGCACCATGGAGTGATAATACCTCAACGTACATGTTTGGGAGAGGCACCCTAAGTCATCTTTGCAGCACGCAGCTCCCCAGCGAGTCCATGGCCTCATTGTCCCCCCCCACCCCCCCAGGTTCCAGGAGTGAAAGGGGAGGGATTCTCTTTGGATGTCGATTGATAAGTGGCCATGAAGGCCCCTCTCATGTGACATTGTGAGGAGTCTGTGAGCCCCTGGCTGGTTTAGGCTCTAAGCTTCTTCCTGGTTAGATGGGCCTGGTTCCAGACACCCCTTTCTGTGCCCCGCTATTCCCAGCTGCTCCTCCCCCTCGTCCTCCTGAACACCAGGTCCCCCTCTTGTGCCACCTGCAGATGGGCGACTCGGGGCGGTACCAGTGCCTGGCAGAGAATGAGATGGGCGCTGTGGAGAAAGTGGTGGTCCTCCTGCTGCAGAGTGAGTGCCCGCCTCCCCGCTCGGGGCCCTGGGTGGATGGTGTGAGTGGGCGTCCAGGGAAAGCTGCGCCAAGGCCGTGGCTTGTATGGGGCGAACCCCGTCACGTGCTCCGTGTCACACTCCTGGGGCACAGGCTTGTCGGGGAGACTGCCCAGGGGGTCCGTGTACTCATGTTGTGGCTGCATTTCCTCTCCGCGATATGGTCAACCAGAATGTGTGTGTGTGTCGCGCTGTAGGGAGGCTCCAGTTTGGGTGGTTGGGACAGTGCGGGGGTGGCATTCTCATGCATGTCTGTGGCGAACACGCACAGACATCTCTTGCCGGGCATTGACCCAGGGGGGGCTGCTGGGTCACACACCACACACGTGCTCGGCTTCAGGGGACACTTCCCGTGGTCGGCTCCTAAATGGCCCCCAAAGACGGTCCCGTCCTAACCTCCCAGACCCGGGAGTGCGACCGTGTTTGGAGAAAGGACCTTTACCGATGTCGCTAAGGATCTTAAGATTAGGGGGCCGTCTTGGATGAGAAACCGAGGGTGAAGCAGTGACCTGGTGAGAAGCACTCGCCAGAGACAGAGCCGAGTCTGCCCGTTTCATGTGGCATCAAATACAGGCAGCACCGGCAAGGGTCACCCTTTCATTGGAAACCACCCGAATGTCCTACGATAGGGTTCGGTGAAGGGAGCCATGATGGAGCCAACCACGCAACACCATGCAGCACCCGGAGATGAATATTCAGTGACATGAAAGGGAGTCATGATCTATACTGGAATGGAGAGAGGGAGGGAGGGAGGACACTGTGGTCACATTCTTTCCTTTTTTAATATATTTTTATTGATTTCAGAGAGGAAGGGAAGGAGAGAGAGAGAGAGAAAACATCAATGATGAGAGAGAATCATTGATCGGCTGCCTCCTGCACACCCCACACTAGGGATCAAGCCCGCAACCCGGGCATGTGCCCTCACCGGGAATTGAACTGTGACCTCCTGGTTCATAGGCTGAAGCTCAGACGCTCAGCCACTGAGCCACGCCGGCACTATGGTCACATTCCCACAAGGAAACAGTATCTAGAAGGCAATACGGGAAGGGCATTGGCCTGGGGATCATCTGTGATTCTCTCTGCCTTTCTGCCTCTATGCTTTCTATTCTGTTGAAATGAGCATGTATCGCTTGAATATCTGAAAGGAATAAAATGTTCCTAAAAACTGCCTGGGCCTCCCACAGGCGCCCCGGTGTTCCAGGTGGAGCCCCAGGACGTGACAGTGAGATCCGGGGACGACGTGGCCCTGCGGTGCCAGGCCACCGGACCCTGCCGGATGGGAGCCTGTGGCTGGAGCGCGTGGAGACGAGGGACACGGGCACATACGAGTGCGTCGCTCACAACCTCCTGGGCTCTGCCACAGCCCGAGCGTCCTTGGTTGTGAAAGGTACGAGGCGGCCCGGCCCAGACCTTGGGCCAAGGCGGGATCTCCGCGAAATGGGGATCTGTGTGTGGTTTGTGGGGGACCTGGCCCCCTGCCCTGCTCCCCGACTCTTCTCTTTGCTGAGAGTCACAAACATTGAACAAAGCAGCTGGGAGGGCCTCGGGGGTCATGGTGTCTGCCCTTCCCTGTGCAGTCAGAGAACCGAGGGTCTGAGATGCTCCGTGTTCGCAGCTCCTGTCGGACCAGGGACTTGGGCTCTTCCAGCTCCCCTGGCACAGACCCAGGTCCTCTCTTTGGACACTTTGCAGCTCTGCCTGGGCGGGTGGGTGCCCAGTAACCACTGCTGCTCCCAGCGGTACCACCCCTGCCGGTCGGCCTACTCAGTCAGCATCCTTCTCCCGTGGGGCAGCCCACACTTTCAAACGGAGAAGATGACTATCCTGAGAAACCATAACATGGCCCAGCCTGACTGGTGGAAAGCTGCTGAGTATTATTTCTGGGCCTCTGTTGTTCTGTAAATACTCCACGTTTGTGGCTCTGTATCTCCGGCCCTGTCCATGGCAGACATCACTAATCTATCGCTGCACACGATGCAGAATCCTTCCCCACAGAACCCTGTTCCAGGCAGCAGCTGGGGACCACTTAGAACTGGGACTTGACACTTGGCCACTTGAAACCCACTTACTCTGCTGCCATTTAGAAAAACCCAACATAGCTGGGGACCACTTAGAACTGGGACTTGACACTTGGCCACTTGAAACCCACTCACTGGGTTCTGCCGCCATTTAGAAAAACCCAACAAACCTTTTTAGGGGACATAATGGCCTCCTTACCTTTTTATTTATATTTTTTAAGATATTTTTATTGATTTCAGAGAGAAAAGGAGAAGGAGAGGGAGAGAGAGAGGGAGAAGAAGAGGGAGAGGGAGAGGGAGAGGGAGAAAGAGGGAGGGGGGGGAATATCAATGATGAGAGACAATCATTGATCAGCTGCCTCCTGCACGCCCCACACCAGGAATTGAACCCAAAACCTGGGCATGTGCCCTGACGGGGAATCGAACTGTGACCTTCTGGTTCATAGGTTGACGCTCAACCACTGAGCCATGCCGGCAGGGTCTCCTTACCTTTGTAATGGAAACAACTGCTTTTTACTTCATATATGTTTGTTGTAGAAAGGCCTGGTGATTTAGAAAAATCTGTGAAGAAAAAGGAATGATCAATCATCTCTCACCATGCAATGACCACAAATGGCTTTGGCCATGGTTATTTGGGGTATAGCTTTCTACCCTCTTTTTCTCCAAATATAAAGAGATAGGCTTTTCTTTCTACGACTGAGATCACACGGACAGGCGTCTTTACGACCTGCCGTGGCTCCGGGTGTCGGCCGGCGCTCCATGACAGTAAGCCCGGCCCACACCTTCTTCATGGCTCCCTGCCATTCCACGGCAGCGTTTCCCAACGTCATTGCTGCTGGCTTTGTGGAATAGCCGCAGGTTTGTTCCCAATGTCCCCCCCAAACCACACTGTGTGCACACCCTGTGTGCTGGCCCGAATCTTTCTACAGGATAAATTTCTTCAAGGGGAAAAAAAAATAATTCTTCAAGCGGCATCGCCAGGTAAATGGTGTGCAAAGGCTTTGAGGCCCCCTCGCTATGGTCTTGTCTTCTCTCCCTCCTTTTCCATGAGTCTTGGGGGGCCCATCCTGGCCTTGTGGGAAACAAGAGGCTGCCGAGTCACCCCGTGTCGGAGAAAGTGGCCAGTGGCTTGTCCTTCCTGTCCTCCAGTCCCCCCCGCCCTTTTAAAGCTCCCAGAGGCCGTGCTGTTGCTCTCTTACCTGCAGCTCCCACTTTCTGCCTCAGCCCCTCATGACAAGGCCAAGGGTCGGTTCATGCCTCTTCCTGGCCCTGCCATGAACTCGGGGCAGCAGATACTGACCAGAGACATCCCTGCTGGGCGTCATCTCCTCAGACCCCGGCTGTGGGCTGCAGGACACGGCGCCGCTTCCTGGACTCCAACATTCCCCAGCCCCGAATTCACCCGATTAGGAGCCTGGCGGTTCTGTGTGATGTTATGTTTTTGGACAGATCGTGGGCAATTTGTTGCTAATTTCCCCGGAGAGCTGGTGAGCGCCGAGGCAGGCTACCTTCTGTCTCTCTCCCCCTGGAATGCCATCTGCCGAATGAGGCATCTGGCCCATTAGCCAGAGGAAGCGGCCCCTGTGCCCACGCCGTCCATCCGATTAGTGCGGAAGAGCGTCTGCTTGCAGACAGCCTGGCGGCTCCTCCAAACCCAGACCCCCCGGCCCCCCCGATCCACTCGCCAGCCAGATCCGCTGCAGGGCGGCTGGAGCCAGGGCCACTGTTGGAATGGAGGACATTCCGGTGGTGGCATGCAGCACCTGGCTCGGTGCCCTGCCCCTCGGCCTGGCTCCTCCAGCATGCCAACAGGTTTGGGGCACATCTTTGGTCCCACCCCCTCATTTGATAGACAAGCCAACTCAAGTGTGGCTTGGAGGCCTGACGAGGCCAAGTTTCCAGGAAGGTGATGGCGTAGCCAGAATTAGAAGCTGGTACATCACCCCTTAGCTGGGTGCCCTTGGGCAAGTTCCTTCACCTCTCTGAGCCTCAGATGACTCCTTTGGGAAACAGGTACAATAGCTGCTTATACGGAGGGCACAGAGGTGGGTAATGTCACAGTCATTCTCCTCCTTCCTCCCAGGGGAGCCCCGGGGGGGCCGGGGCAACATGATCGGGGTGATCAATGGCCAGGAGTTGGGCGTGGCCACTCTCAACGCCAGTGTGCAGCAGGAGGCGCGCTCAGGGGTCACCACCTTGCGGAGCAGCATCGGCCACATCCCTGCGAGTGTGGGTAAGAGGGACCAGCTGCCCGAGCTAGAGGCAGGAGGAGGCGAAGCCTGGGTTCCGGGGCTGCCCTAGGCCCGGCCACTCTCAACGCCAGTGTGCAGCAGGAGGCGCGCTCTGGGGTCACCACCTTCAAGAGCAGCATCAGCCACATCCCTGCGAGTGTGGGTAAGAGGGACCAGCCCGCCCGTGCTAGAGGCAGGAGGAGGCAAAGCCTGGGTTCCGGGGCTGCCCTAGGCCCAGTTCCTAGAGGAAATCCAGCCACCTCTAAGAGCCGAGTCCAAGCCAACCGGAACCCCCAAATAAAACAGCAGCAAGGGGGTGCACTTGTTTCATTTGCAACTCGGCCCAGTGCCCCCATAGAGGCGGTCTGTGTAGGCCCAGGCTCCGTGGTGACCTCGTAGCCCCCAGTACTTGTGGAACCGAGTTAAATGTCAACAAGTTCCATGCGCGTCTTTGTATAAATGTTCTGCTCATTTCACAACCCCTCCAAGACGGAGCTATTGGGCTTTGCCACTTGGTTCTGATCCAATCACTGGTCCAGGGAATCTTGGGGCTGAGCGCTCCTGGGGACCATAGGGAGTCACAGAGGGACCTTGAGCAGGAAGAAGAGTGGCTGCCCTCAGCATCTGTCCTCCCCGCCACCCCCCACATCCCCCTTCCAGGGCCTCTGATGCGGGTACTCGTGGTCACCATCGCCCCCATCTACTGGGCACTGGCCGGAGAGCATGGCGACGCCCTGAACGGCCACTCCCTGACGGGGGGCAGCTTCCGGCAGGAGTCGCACATGGAGTTTTCTACAGGTGTGTGGGGGCTCCCCCAGGTGGGTCAGCGGGGGCTGGGGCCCGAGCCCAGGGCCTCTCCCCGGTGGTGACTCCCAGCTGGATGGGGCTGGGTTGCAGGGGAGCTGCTCACGATGACCCAGGTGGCCCGGGGCCTGGATCCCGACGGCCTCCTGCTCCTGGACGTGGCGGTCCACGGCGTCATCCCCGAGAGCCTGGCTGACGCAGATCTCCGAGCGCAGGTGCGGGCGAGCCGGGGTGCACAGAGGGGTGCGTGAGAGTCAGTGGGATGTCCTGCCTGTGGCCATCCTGACGCCCGAGCAGGGGCTGGGGCGTGGCCTAGCCTTGGACTTCAGGGGGGACCAGTAGGAAGATTCCCTGGGCCCCTGGGGGCGTTCTCCAGTCCCATGGGCAAGACCCCCTGTGACCTGCCCTGTGACCGCCCGAGGCTGCCCAGTGGTGGGAGGCAGCGGTTTGGAAGTTGCAATTCCAGATGTTCTCCCTCCCCCCTCCCCGCTAGGACTTCCAGGAGGACTACGTGCAGACGGGCCCCGGCCAGCTCTTCGTGGGCTCCACGCAGCGCTTCCTGCAGGACAGCCGGCCCATGTCCCTGCGCTGCAACCACAGCATCCAGTACGAGGCGGCGCGGGGCCCACAGCCCCAACTGGTGCAGCACCTGCAGGCCTCGGCTATCAGCGCGGCCTTCGACCCTGCGGCTGAGGCCCTGCGCTTCCAGCTCACCACAGCCCTGCAAGCCGGTGAGGGCCCTGCCCTATCCCCACCCCCACGCCCCAGCTCACAGTGGGGACAGCCTCGAGTGCACCTGGCTGAAGGCCCAGGTGACAGCCCACCACCTGCACCCCGTGACCAGAGACCAGAGACTCTGGGCTGAAACAGCTCACCCCCTGTTTCCGTCCATCCATCCACACCCCAACAGGGGCACAGCTGTCCAGGCCACTCCTGTTCACACCCTCGGGCCCCAAGGTCAAGGTCCACACCACCCCCATGCTGATGGTCAAGACTTGAGTCATTCCTACCCTCCTCCCAAGGTGCCGGCACCAGAGACCCCACCCAGGGGCCTGGGAGCCACTCTTCGAGCCCCTGGCGGCCTGTGTGAACACGCCATATATTCTCACTCACTGGAGGCTAAAAATGTGCCTGTTAGCATGGTTTATCCTTGAACATGGGGCAATGGTAAGAGCATAGCTTTGACATCAGGCAGACCCCGGTTCAAACCCAGCCGCCCCACTCCAGGGCTGTGAGACCTTGGGGGCAGAGCCCGGCCCTCCCTGGGCCTCCGTGTGCCCATCTGTGAAATGGGCATGACATTGCCTGCCCTGCAGGGTGCAGGAGTAGAGGTGCTGTCTCTGTGACCCCCCCTGGCACCCAGTGGCTGCTTCATCAAGGGTGCTGTCCCTCCGATCGCTAAGGCAGTCCCGTCTCCTCCCGCCCCCAGAACACAGTCTGCGCCCACCCTGCCTCGGGCTCGCTGCCCCCTCAGATGCTCACTTACCCCAGCAGAGGCCAGGCCCCCCTCTGCGTTGTCAGGACCGCAGCTTCGCCTGTGCGGTCTGCTTTGTACTTAGTAATGATTTCGGTGTCTGCCAGCCACGGTCCGGCCAGCCTGCGTGAGCCCCTCATGACACGACCCACAGCCGAGGCCTGGGCTGGGAGTGGGCTCGCTGACGCTGGGTGCCGGCCTGGCTCAGAGCAGAGGCTGA